CGATGCCCTCCTCCACCCTCCACCTGGTGATCAAGCGCATGGCCGAGGGGGTAGCCCATGTGATATCCACAATGGACTCCCCCTGCGTCCGCACGCAGGTGGGGTTCCGGCCCTCGTTCACGAGGACCAGTCCGTGCATCGCCGCCCATCTCGCCAGCGCCTTGCCCCTCCCGTTCGTGCGCCGGGAACCCCAATTTGTATGCCACGCATTGAAGGCCCCGGCCACGAGGACCGGCCTCGGACTCAGGCGTATGAGCGTCTGCCCAATGTCCGAAAGCCAGTCCTCAAACGGGGCGAGGCGTCTGGTGGGCCTCAAATAAGTCCCCACGACCGCGATGCGCCCCCATTGCACAGCAACGTGCCGGTCCCCTCGTTCGATGACGGTCATGCCGGGTCCTCCCGGCACCGACCGCCATCGGATCGCGACCGAGTCCCGCGCCAGCCCAACAGCCCAATATGGGCTGTTTTCTGGGGCGCGGTGGGGCTCGGACACGATCGCCAACGTGAACCCCCTCTCCATCATGCTTTGCTGGAGGAGCTCCTGCGCATGTGGAGAGTGGTTCACGTTGGCCTGGAAAAGGCCATATCCTTTTAGATTCAGACGAGGGGGGCGAGACATTGCTAGTTCTCATCCCCCCCGTCCGATGGGGCTTCGATCTCCATGGCTTCTGTGCTGGGGGCATTCTCCTTTCGCGCCAGTTGGCGCTGCGGTTGGGGCCTCTCGCCCATTTCACCGCCCCCCGTCTCCGTCCCCTCCCCCGTCGGCCGAACTTCGGCTGGGGGGGGGGGGGTCACCGGACGCTGGCGCTTGCTCCAAAATGCGCCGCTCCGGTGGCCTCCCGCGCACATTTTTCTGGGCGCAAGTCTTTGCGCCCAGAACGTGCGTCGCCGGTCTGCCCTTGTCCGTGCACAGCGGGCACTTAGGGGCAGACCGGCAATCGCGGGAGACGTGACCGGTTTCACCGCACCGGTAACACCTCCCGCTCCTATCAACCTCGCCGGGGCAGGTTGATCTTACGTGGCCCCTCTCGAGGCAGCTATGACAGCGCATAGGCCGCGCCTCGAGAAGGTCCACTCTGGCCGTTCCCCATCCGACCCGGATACGCCCCTTAAGGGACATCTCCCTCGCCGCGGTGAGGGGCAGGCGCATCCAGAGGCTGTGCTTTCCTCCAGCGGTTGGCTGCAGCGCTCCGCACTGCATGTCGGAGGCGCCACACCGCACAGCCTCTGCAACCCACCCCTTCACCTCTTCGACGTCCAAGGAGTCGTCGAGGTCGCGCAGGCGTACCTCGGCCATCCTCCTTGGACGGTCCACCCGCGTTCCTTCTTCCCCGAGGAAGACCCGCGTGATGTGCCCCGCGAGGAGGTCGGCCTTGTCGGCGTGGCCCTCCCCGGACACTTCAATGACCTTGGCACCGGTGGCGCCCGATCTTATGCTGACCAGGCCACCGATGCCAAGGTCTTCCAATTTGACCTCTCGCCGCAGTCTGGCCATGGCCTCACAGTAGTCCCCGTCGGGACGCGTGATGACCACGGCCGACGTGCGGGGGAGCCTTCTCCTCGGAGTCTTTTTGGGCGGGCCGCCAGCTTGCCCTTTTACTGGGGCACTGGGGGCGGCCGCCCTGGGGACTCCTTTGGCGGATTTCCATGCCGCCTTACTTTTCCTCGCAACTACCGCCGCGTAGGTCACAGCCCCCGCGGCGGGCTGGGAGGACTTGGCGTCTCGCCCAAGAGAGACCCCTGTCTCCTCGACGCCTTGCGTCTGCTGCGAGAGGGGGGCCTTCTTCTTCCTCTTCCTCTTGGACCCCCCCTCCACAGCATTCGCGGTCCTCTCGGGAGGCTCCTTAGCCCCTTTTGATCCGGCCCCGGGAACCGGGCGGTCCCTCACGGCGCCCCCTCCTCCCTTTCGAGGGTCGGAGGGGCCCGTTGCAGGGCCGCTATTACGGGCCCCGCCCCCGACCAAGGACCGGATCAAATCCTCCATCCTCTGGAGTCTCTGGTTGGTCTCCTTTTGAGACTGGCCGAGGACCTCCTGTATTCTCCTCTCCACCATCTCCCCTGTAATCTCCCCCGCCTTCCCAGGCAAGGGCTTCCCCGCCTGTTTCCGCGGGGCGTGGGGGGATGGTAAAGAGGAGTCCTTCGCGGGGGTTTTGGGGTTGGTCCGCTTTCTCGAGGCGGACCTCTTCCTCTTCCCCACCCGCGTTTTTCCCGCCCCCGACGTCGATGCCCGGGAAGTGTCCGCGTTGTTCGGCGTGACTACCTCCCAGGTCCTCTTTTCCGCGGACGGGTCGGCCGCCGTCTCTCCGGGGGGAGGAGACTCCATTGGCAGCCCATCAGCGGCCACCTCTGGCATCTCCTCCTCCCGTACCACCTCCCCCGTGGGGGTGGTGTTCCGCCCCGCTGATAGAGGGTCGGGGGGGGCGGCATCCTCCTCCGGTCCCGCTCCTCCTCCTTCTCCCTCAGGAGGCCGGCGACCTGAGCTTTGAGGGAGGTCAGCTCCTCCCTCATCTGCTCTTCTCTCTCGGTCGCCTCCCCACTCAGCCTTGTGAACAAGACATCCACGGCGACCCTGGTATACAGGGCCCCGTCCTTTATAAGGCCAACAAGAGTCCCCTTGAGGTTCTCGCTGACCTTAGCCACCTCGTCGATCTTGCTGCTGTAGTCGAGGACTTTCGCAACAAGATCGCGGGTGGGGAGCTGGGGGACCTGTTCCTCCAGCTCTCTTACCTTCTTCCGTCTCTCCGCGCCCTCGTATTTCCGAGGGTCATACTCTCCCTGTAGGATGCGCAGGTCCTCCCTAGACTTTTTTAGGGCTTGGGCTACCTCTTTGCGGGCTTTCATCTGAACGCCCTTTCCCGTTGTAGCCTTCCTGCCTCTGGGGTCCTTCTTTTTAAGGAGGGGGTTCTCCTCCACGCTGGAGGTGTCGGGGGGACGCTGTTGTTTGGCGTCTCTCCCTCTCCCGACACTTTTACTCCTCTTGATGGCCCCCGATTGGGACACGCATGACTTGACGCTAACGTCAGAGTCAGAGTTATGATCCCCCTCGGGGTCTACCACGCGAGCAGGGTCGTCGGGGTCGTCGACGACATCGCTGCTCACTGCCGATGGCGTCTCCCCCTCCTCGTCGTTTGTATCCGTCGGGGTGGGGGAGTCTCCGGTCCTCCTCGGGGAGGGGGAGCCCTTGGTCCTCGTGCGGATCTTGGCAGCGAGGGCCGTCCTCTCCTCCTCCTCCTCGAGGTACTCTTGACCATAGGCATCGGACCTTGTTCGCCGCGTATCCCTCTTCCGTCTTTGCCGGACCTTAAAGCTTTTGGGGTCAGCTTTATGACCCCTTAGTTTGCTCACGTCCAGGCGAGCGACCTTTACGCTCACAATCGTGGCACCGGATGGCTCTCCTGAGGGTCCAGGCTGATGTTGGCCCGTCCCGCCACCCTGTGCTCCCTGCGCGACCGCCGCATATGTCTGCGGTTGCGCGCCCGCCTCCTTCTCCTCTCCTCCCTCCGCTCCATCAAAAAATGTATGTGTGGCATCCATTTTTAGTTGATCCCCACTCCGCGCGAGGCTCCGCCGACCGGGGTATACCCCCACCGGGCCACGACCGACCGCGAGACATGACCACGGACGCCGGCGCAACCCGGGCCCCCGAGTTCCCTCGGAAGAGTCGGCATATGCCACAGGACGGGGGGATGCCGCACCCCGCCACTGGGCTCCAGCCCCTTACTCACCCCCACGCTCAGTGCGTGGGGGTTTTCAGGGGTTCCGCGCCTCCGACCTCGCAGACACCTCGCGCGTGCTTGCCAAGCGGGGGGG